GCCATTGTACTGGAAACCGGGTCCAGTGTCCCATATCCAATCTACTCTTCCATACCTATCCTGCAGCAGGGTCGGGTATTGGGGGGAGAAACACTGGGGGGCACCAGTGGAGTCTCCCTCCCTCCCCTAGCCGCTGCCATCCACCTACTATCCTCATGGCGCCTACTGTGTCTTTGCACTCTGCAGTGGCATGTATTTTGAAAAAAGCTGAAGCAACAGAAGAAGGCTGAAATGAGCTGCACTGAAATCAGCTGAAATCAACTGACATTTGACTGACATTGGCTGAAGTATACTGAACCTGCTGGAAACCGGGTCCAGCGTCCCTTAAATGCTACTTTATAAGCAATCATCTTTTGAAGTGACGCGTGCTGGGAACCGGGTCCAGCGGTTTTTTTTTTTTTAACCATGTCCAAAGCCTCTATCGGGCTACTCCATCTATTGGTGGGGAGCTTCACCTGCTGGAAACCGGGTCTCATGCAACCGGTAGTATTTCTGCTAAGGACAGCGGGTGGGGTGGGAAAGGGTCTGTGAAGTCCTGAGCAAGTCGTAGCGAGGTGCCGGGATCAATCGTGGTCCAATCGTGAAAGATCAGCTGGTAGTCTCTTACTATCTCTGTCCGGGGTTCTCCCTGCGATTCCCTTTCAGGTTGGCGGCCCGTCCATTTCACCTCGGCCACCCATCCCTCCCTCTCTCCACCCAGCCAGTCCTTGCTGAATGTAGAGATGATCCTGTTCATGTCCCCTCAGGTGTACATCAGGTCGAGCTTGTCTTTAGCTGTCTTCCATTGGGCCGCTATCTCGTGTTGGACCAATGTTCGGATTTGCTCCATGGCCTCGCCGTCTTCCCCCGGATTGAAGGGTAATACCCCAAGAGTAGGGCCCTCCAGTCCCATGGCCAGACTGCACCAGGAACTATGTGACACCAGATCCTGTCCCAACTTCTCCATAATAGCACTGATGCGGGACATTGGAGGAATATATGTTCGATGGTCTTAGCCCTCCTCCTCCCAGGGTAGCTCAGGAGACATTTATGGCACCATGGTAGTGCCTTCCCCTGTTGTTCCAGACGGGTATGGTCTATCAGCCAATCATTGGTTGGTAGACACTTGTGCTCTATTTGCCACAGGAGGGCGGAGATTTTGGCGGGTCTTTTGCTGTGGTGTGCAAACCACCGGATGGGTTTCAGTAGTTTGCGGTCTATATTGAGATGGGGATACCGTCTGTCTTCTACACGGTCACGTAATCTACATTTGGGTCTGAGCATTTGATAAGCAGATTCAGATTTTAAGTTGCGTAGTGTCAATGCTTTTGCCTCTCCCTTCCTGGTTGGGATGTTCAGGGTCCATTGC